ATTAGATGATGATACAAAAAAATGAGGGTTGAGCGAAAGCAGTTTTTTTTCATGTATTTCCTACATGTGTAGTCACAGGGAGTCAGGTGTGGTCAGAGCATCAGGTGTGAACGTGTACAAAGTAGGGACTCAGCTGGCCAGGGCGAGCCGCTTAAAGCGAGTGGCTGAACCGGCACATAGTGTACACCTGACACACCGTCTGTAATGTCGTGCTTTCATGCACACATCGGATCTGGACAACCGTCACGGCAAACATACATACAGGCTTCAATTAGCAGCTCCACAGACGTTATTCAAAGACACTTAAGTCTAGGAAGCAGTCCAAGGTAGAGTGACAGTGCAAATTATTCATTTGTACAACTGGCATGTAAAACGATGATTAAAGGTCTGTGTTCCTGCCTTGTCCCTTTGCAGCCTGTTTGTGAAGTCAACAACCCGACACTGGTAAAATCATGAGAGCATTTTACTAACAACTTGTGTATTTGTTAGCATAATGCACTGATTTAAATAAGAGCTGCAGAGCCAGGTGAGCACACTCTTCTAAATTAAAAAAAAAATCCTTTAAATTCAATGGAAAATTTGAATGCTTGTCATAAATGTTTGAGAATGCACAAACATAGTAATTGGTCAACCATTAGATTTTTTTCAGATTTATCTTCTATTCAGAAATGATTCTGTTTTCCACACGCCGTCATGAGGAATGTGACTTCAGGGCTGCATCCTAATGGTAAAAACAACGTGTAATCAGACACACAGTACAGGAAAGAGGAATGACTCAAAATGTCCAGGAAATTGCACAGGACAATGTTCTGCTGACTTTTGAGTGTGCAGCAGTATAACATAGTAGCAAACAGGAATAGAATAGAATAAAATAGAATAGAATGACCCTTTATTGTAATTGTATATGTACAGTGAACTTGTGGGTACAAGGAAATCCACACTTTTGAGATGTAAGACTGGTCTAAGCACTTTAGGAGTAAATGGAACATATTTTTGATTAGTGTGGGTCTAATTTGCTCCATCGTTAACTGTAACCTATGCAGGGTTATGGACATTTTCTTTTAAAAGATGAGGAAAATTTTCAATTGAAAACAGACTCTATTCTTACAGAAGAATGGCTTTCCAGAGTTGCAGTGAAGAAGTAAATAACTAAATCCTCAAGTGAGTGCTTAACTCATATTTAGATAATCGTGTATACATCCTGTTGTTCAAAAACAACTTTAAAATGCAAATGGGATCCTCACTTGTTTGACCTATACCATTCACATCCCTCATCCTCCCCTCTGCATGGAAGCAGTGGAGGAGAGACCAAAGCAGACTGAATGACAGCTCAACAGATGAGATAGCAATGTTTAATCCCCTTTTAAAAGAGCTTCATTGAAAACACTCTGAGCGGGGAGGACCAGACGAAAGAAAAATTGGAGCATTGTGCATTGTATAGCCATCATGGGGCCTCTTTGGTCTTCTCTGTGAAGTGACTTTGACAGCTGTGGAGATTAAGGAGCAGCCCAATGTACATGGCCCAAACAGCTGGGATTAGACTAGATATGCTCACTCTTGTCTCTGGCTTCTTCACTTAGTAAATCAATAAAACATGATTTTACTACTGTAATGGAGAATGTGTATGTGTGGGTGAGAGAGACGGTGAGGTCGCGGAATAGCGTGGAGAGAATAAAACCTGCTTAAAGGAGGAAAATAGCTCCAGAGGCAAGGAGGAGCCAGCTGCCAAGTGTTGCTGCTCAGTCCTACTTAGGCTGTTGCTGTAGCTTTGCTTAGACCTATAAGTAAAGCAAAGTGTATATGGTGCATGAATATATGAGTTTCTAAGGCGAAGCATGCAGTTAGATAAACTTTGAAAAACTTAAAACTGAAATTCAAGTTGAGAAGTGACCTTGAAGAAAAACACCTTTAAGCTAGCCTCATATAACCGGACAAATGCACAAATGCACAAATGCAGATTAGTGTGCCAGCTCTCAGGTCAGTTTTGACTTCTAAAGGGTGTCATCCACAGCCTTTGTCACAGTTCTGGGTCAGTTTGACCCAGTATTATGAGTTGTTATGTTTTGGTGTGTTTTTGCATTTTGGATTCTTTTCTTCTTATTATTATGATGATGATGATGATGATGATGATGATGGTGATGGTGATTATGAATCTATGTTTTAGTTATTCTTGTTTAGGGATTAGTTCGTAGGTTTTGTGTTCTCATGTTTATTGCAGGTTTAGTTCAGTGTCTAGTCTGTCTCAGTGTCGTGTCTGCGTCTTCGTGCAGTGTTTTCTTGTTTCCTGTTTTTTTGTGAAGGTCTGCGTCTCATGTGAGTGTGTTCAGTTTACCTCCCTTGTCTCGTCTCGTTAATTACTCCCAGCTGTGTCCACCACCTGTGTGTAATCTCCCTGTGTTTCTTTGTGTGTATTTAAGTTGTGTCTTCTGTCATTGTAGTTGCTGGTCCGTCTGTGTATCCACCATGTCTCACTCGTGTGTTTTCCCTGCTGTCCGTCGTCATTCTCCGCTGCTCATCCTCCTTCATGTTCATGTTCTGGTTTGTGTTCACTAGTTTAGTTGTTCTCAGTTTAGATAGCCTTCTGTTCCTTTTGCCGTTTGCCCATTTTTATTTTGTGTTTAATAAACCACCCTCACACCTTTGCAAGTGCATGCATTTGGATCCTCCTTTATTTCTTCCACACGGCTCATCTCACTCGCCGTAACAGCCTTAGACCAAAATACTTATTGGACCTACAATAATTAGACCTATAAAAAGTCATCTTAAAAACGTGTGGCATTGTGCACTGTAGGCAGAGCTGTGAGAACATTTGTGTAAACCGGAAGGAGTCCAGATGAATTCTGCCAGAACAAATGAAACATGACCTCCGAGTTTCATCTGGTACCCATGCTACCTTTAAAAGCTTCCTTATTCTTGGACACTTCTAAAGTAGCTTTGTATGACTCAAAGTTCAGAATAATCTTTGCTTTTCTTATACTGACCACTGGTGAAGTCGCTCCATTCAGTTCAAAAAAATCATTAAAAGCCCCAAATTAGCAAAGCACTCATGCCTGTGATGAGCCTGATCACAACTGTACTACAGAGATCTAAAATGCATTTTAGTATTCAAGTTTGTAACAAAATATGATGTAAGATCAACTCTAGTCCAACACCTTTAAACTCTCACAAGCTTTAAAGCAGGGGTCCCCAATCCCAGTCCACGAGGGCCAGTGTCCCTGCAGGTTTTAGATGTGTCCTTGATCCATCACAGCTGATTTAAATAGATAAACAACTGTCTTGAAGTTCTCCAGAGGCCTGGTAATGAACTAATCATGTGATTCAGGTGTGTTGACCCAGGGTGAGTTCTAAAACCTGCAGGGACACCGGGCCTCGTGGACTGGGATTGGGGAACCCTGCTTTAAAGCAACAAAAAACTTCCCAAACAGAAATCAATTTCAGCTTTCAGCGGCCTCAGAGTGCATTTAATATCTTATTCGGTCATGATAACAAACATGTTAGCCTAAGATATTCTCACCATTATTTCTATGTGAGTAAAAATAGGCTGGAACAGACAGACGCAAACATAATGATAAGACTGAGCTGTCAAACCTTATTATGCGACTGAATGGAGCGTCTGAAAAGTTTTTTCAGTGCGGAGGCGACTTTGAGTTCTTGGGGCAGTTCATGTATGAAACTGGCTGTTAATAAAGTCCAAAAATGTACTGCCTGTTCTGAGAAGTAAAAATATTAAATCCTCACATAAAAAGGCCACTGAAATCTGAGCATAAGCATCTGCAACAGACACAGCATGACTCAGCTCCTGGCTTATATGTAGCTGTGCAGATTCACAATGACACATCTATTAAAATCTATTAATTTTAGACGCGCAACTATTCAACGGCACGCGCAGCTGTCTTTGTTTTATGTGCTGTAACACTGCAGTTAGCCTACAATCACTCCTTGTGATGATCCACTAATAGTAACATGTCTAAATAAATCACTGGACCAGCAGCTTTAAATTACACATGTTTCACAGGCTGCTCTACACTTAAATAACCCCTGCACAACTTTGATTATAAAGTTGCAGTTGCAATGTCAGGAGTCTTGTTTTCTTAAGGGAGTGGTTTAGAATTTGCTAAGTGGAACGAAAGCTTAAGAGCGAATAAGTAAGCCTTCCCCAGCTTCACATCTGCCTCTAATCCATAAAATTACACCTGTCACTAGAAAGTTAGATTTATTAAAACTATTTCCTTATCCGAGAAGGAAAAACTATTAAAACGCACAAAGGCCTTCAATCAGCACTTAATTAACGCGGCAACCTTTTTTCTACCCCCCCAA